AAACAAAGACTCGCTTATTGAATCCTGTTGAAAACTACTTTAACTCCTGGAAGGTTTGGGGTCACTGACACTAGTTGCAACAAACCGTTCAAACATTGATGAACGTCCTGACTGAACTTAGGTTAGAGCATAAATTAATATCAGAATCATAAATTAAACTTTCTAAAGATTTAATTATTTTGCTTTTAGGCCTAAATGCCTTTAAACAACTAACTTACACTGTTGGACATAAATATAGATTAAATGCTACTGAAATTATATAAATGACCATGTAAATGCTATCATTTATTTGAAAGCTGATTTTGTTTGTCTCCTTGTTTCTGCAAATGAAACATGACTCATGCCTTTTATTACAGTCTGCAGTACAGTAAGCATTTTCTCCATGTAGGGTCATGACAACGTTTATGGTATTTTATCATGTCTTGTACCTTGGGCACGATGGCTGCTTAAATACACATGAAGATTTCTCTGAACAGACATCACAAATCACAGATTATTTTTACTCATATGTGTCATTTACACTGGTAACATGTTCCCACCACATTTTGAAATGGCTGATTTCATCCCCATCACTTTTTAAAAACGTTTGTTTTTAGAACAAATGTATTGAAAAATAGCTTGCACCGAGGAAGGAAAACGTGCAATGCATTTTACATATAGAAGAAACAAATATGCACTGTCCAATAGAAGTAACAAACAAAAAACAAGCTGCTGATTACTGTATTATATTTTGTCATAGTTTTATATTGATGAATTTTTAGCTGCCAGCTGCATTTCTTTATATAAACAAAGACATTTCCACTGTAACTTGGAGAAGGAAATGTCACCAGAATGCAGGAAATTAAGTGTTTAATGCTCCAAATTTCTGAAGGAGGACCTGTAGACCCCCGCTCATATATTTCAGCATTTCATGTTTCTTCAAAATAGTGTTAAAATCTTCTCGTCCAGTTTTCGTGTATCATCACTAATGTTGGGTGTTTTAAAATTTTACGATACCAGTACCAAAACCAGTACGCTTAAGGTGATACTGATACCAATACTTCAGAGTACTTCATTTGATCCCTTGCATAAAATGCCACCTGTTGAAGCCATAGTAGTTGATTGGTAGCCTATTATTATTTTAATGTTCTTCTGGTCAATATTTTTTTTGTTATTGTTTCAAATAACTGTTACATAATAAGTATTGGGAAATTGCATCAGATCCGCCTCATCCTAATTAGGTCATCCTAGCTTTTTCTTTTATTTGTGAGTCGCAAACCTCTGAAAAAGGACAGTCACAAGTAAAAAATGAGAAAGGAGTCTGTTTAAACAGGTCACTTAACTACATTACAGACTCACAAACAGAGGAAAAGAGAGGCTGCATGTCCAGCCGATCAAACCAACTACACCTGAAGCAGCCACAGCTGCAGCCGGAGGCTCCCTGAGTAAAATCAGCTGATCGCTGCTGCACCACAAAAGCGTTTAATTGATGTGATGGAACGCAGCGATCGATCAGTGACAAGTGATGTGAATAGCAAATAAAAATGTACCTTTGAGCAACAGGCCCAAAGGAAATTTCTTTAATAAACTTCAGTTTACACAAAAGCTAAAAAGGTCCCAGTGAAAGAAAAAGAACAGAGGAATGTGTATTATAATACCAAAAGCTACAGCTTACATAGATAAACAGACAGGATGTGACAGTATACTTCGGATGCTCAACGCTTGCTGGGATTGGTTGATCTCTAGTGTCCATGCAGACATGTCCTTTTGTGATTGGACGTCCTACACTGTTCACTCAGACAAAGCATGTCAAGTACTCTGTGATTGGATGTTTTCTGGTGTGCATTCAGTCCACGCGTGATCAGGTATCTTTTAATACATGCGGTTAATACATGCCTGTCCGTCTTCCTGCCTTTTCACAGAGGGCCCCATGTATGGCTTCCTTTTGACATTCAGAAATAGCTCCCATCTCACCCACATACCTGCAACGTCCTCTCTACTTAGTCCAAACTAAGTTTTAAAGTGAGCTTAGAAATAAATCATCATGAACTGAATCAATTGATCAGTAAGCACAGCTGATCACATTACAATACATCAATCAATCAATACATCTATCACAAGTAATACAGTCGTTAGAGGCAACACACGTTGATACTGTTAGATTTTAACTTTCTTTTTACTTAATAAATCAGCCATCTAATAAATCAGTTATCTAATAAATCAGTAAATCAATCATGATTAGGGAAATTGTAGTAATTTAGCGTCCTCAATCATTGCCAGTTATTTCACATCCTTCTTTAATCTTAAAAACGTCACGTTCATCACTTGTTAATATCTCACACATTTTCATCATAAGCTAAATAAACTCTATGCTATCTGCAGGTTGAGGCTCACTTCCTGTGAGTCTTTGAATGCAGGCTCTTGTGGTTAAGTAGCAAACTACTATTTGGGGGGGGTGATGGTGCAGTGGACACATGCCTTTAGTGTGAGAGACCCCGGTTCAATCCCCCACGGTGACACGTCCACCATTGTGTTTCTGAGCAAGACACTTAACCCTTAGTTGCTCCAGAGGCGTGTGACCTCTGACATATAAAGCAATTGTAAGTTTCTCTGGATAAAAGCATCAGCTAAATGAAAATCTAGAATATATTGATAGAAAACAATATTAAAACATCAGAATACTGCATTAAAGTTCACATGTTTTTTTTTAACAGTTTCATGTTCGTGGATATACAACACTCTCCTTCTTCTGTCTCTTGTTCTCGTGCTCAGAACTGTCTGAGTTTCTAAACTAGTGCTTTAGTAGAGAGACGCTGCAGCTACTTCCTGTGGTTAGGATGATGTCACTTTCATAGTGACTTTTAGTCTGTTTTAGACAAAGGGGGTAACCCAGAGATCAAACAGTGAAGCTGACCAAAGCCTGCATGGATCCATGTAGGCCCCAATATGACGTCAAAACCCTGAGACACCCCGTCACACATGACCAATGTAACTGTATTGGTTAGATTATAAACTCTCTGTTAATCTAAAGAAACTTTCAGCCATCAGTGACGCTGCGTTGGTGTTTTTCAGGTGAACCTTGTAGGTGGGCAGATTAAACAGTGACAATCACACACTTTTGTTTGTGCAGCTGCTATAATTACTGTGTTTCTGGCAGTTTCTTCACAGTTATGCTGTGGATCATGCGCAGTAGACGCTGGTGCCAACAGGAAGTAGCCCTGTAGTATTTCATGGGACCAAAACTGGCTTCACTGCTCTCCATTCAAATCTGCAGGTTGGTTTTGTCCAGTAACAAACAAACTATATTAAGGCTCAAGTTCACAGTTTGTTCAGTCCGCTGTATTTGTGACAATGACGAGTTTCACCACCTGAAAAGAAGAAGATGAAGAAGTTGAAGGTGTCAAGATTGTTAGTTAAGATAAATGTTTGCAAAACTGCAACTTCTTATTTAGATGGTGATATCATTGTATTTTTGCAGGTATTTTTGTTCAGAGATATGAAGAGGATGTGTTTCAGTGAGGATGTGGTTAACAACAGCAGCAGAGCTCTGCAGGTTTTACCCTCTAATGATGACCAGATAAACATCAGAAACACACGAGGCTCACAGGAACCGACAGTTGACTCTTTATTGGGACATAAGACAAAGAGGCGTTTATTGAATCCTGATGAAAACTACTTTAACTCCTGGAAGGTTTGGGGTCCCTGAGACTAGTTGCAACAGTTAAAACATTGATGAGCGTCCTGACTGAACCGTCTTTAACTGTCTGGACTTAGAGCATCAAGCTTCCACAATATGTAGCAGCAGGTCTGTTCATGTTATTTTCAAAGGAAATATCTCTGCAAGTCACTGAAGACACGACAAGTCGGACATTTAAGATGTGTGAAATGTTTTCAGATTCAAATTAAGTCAGAGTAGGTGGTCATGTGCATCCAGAGCTTAGAAGAAGTAACCTGAATTATTAGATTTTTGTGCATTCTCAAGTCACATTAGGTGCATTTACACTGTCTGTATTTACACACATTTGGCCAGTGGGAATATGGGAGTGAGAGTGTTTTTTTTTATCTTTTGGATGGATGTGGCATGCTTGGTGTGTTTTGCTTTTGTTTCTCCGTCTCAGTCAAGTCACTCTCTGGTCTTCAACCTCATCAGCCCTGCCCCTCTCACCAGCCAGCCACCCTTTCACCTTACCTTTCCAAGGTGTTAATAAAACACTTTATTTATAACCTGTCTGCCTCGAGTCTGAGTTTGGATTCAAGTCTTGATGTCTGACAGTGAAGGAATCACAAAACACAGTGTAGAATTAAGTGGTAAACATTTCTTTATTTGCAGTTAATATATTACCAGATATGATAAAGAGGAGACTGTTACTGACTCCATTAAGGCTGAAAACCCATTCAAGCCAAACACACACACATCCCAACAAATATGTCAACAACAATGTTAAATGAAAGTGAATTAAAATGAGTTCTTCTGTACACAGAGACATGAAACTGAGCTCAAGCTGCTGTAGCTTCAAACACAAACAGTGAACCTTAAAATCAGGTCTGAATTCTTCAGCTGGAAGACGATTTAAGGAAGTTAACAAGAGTTAAATGCTCGTTCCTGTTAAATGAAGCTGAAATCCAGCTGCTGTGTTCTGAACTGGCTGCAGAAAATAAAGATTTTCACAACTGATGCAGGAAAAGACATTTTATAAAACTCACAGTGGGCTTCCTGATATGAGATGAAATCAAGACTTGAATATTGTTGTTCAAAGTCAGACTGAAACAGAAACAGCTGAGCACAAAACACACAAACATTTCTCACACTGATAAATAAAAACAAAAACAATCAGTAATAAAAATCTAAAAATGATCTTATGAGATCTTTGTTCTCTAAAGGCTTCAACTACTCGTGTAAATGTGCTGTTATTTAACTGCAGTGGAGTCTTTTCTCTGATGAGCTGATGTTGATATGGAAGTTGTTGATCAGTGGAGTCTGACAGAGGCAGAAGGGTCTCCATCGTTTTCATAGTTCACCACACCATCATCTTCATCTTCATCATTATTCACCTGTGAAACACAAACAAACCCTCACTCTGACACACTTTAACTGACAGCTTTCACATCACTGACCCACATTTAACACAAGGAGATAAGAAATAACCTGACAGCACCTGAACGCACCGTCAGCTACTGTTACATGTTTCTGCCACTGAGAGAGGAAGTGTTTCTGTGGTAACGAAGGACATGCAGAAGGAAATTAAGTCATTAATTAAAAGTCAAAGAACATAAATACAAAGTATATTAAATCAAGTGTTCATGTTCCTGCAGCTGACTGACCAGAGAGGGAGAGTTTATGTGGTACCCCAAATCCAAAATGTTCCTCCCAGTTTACTGCTGATGTTTTGAAACTGACCACAGTTCACAGTTGAGTCAGCAGACCCTGAACGCACCATTAGTTACTGTCTGATCTGATCTTTATCTGACTGGCTGCTGGACAGTTTGCATTGGAACTAGATTTTATAGTAGTACAGTAACGTGGACGTTGTTTTTTGGAAATAAAAATAATCTATCTGCATTGTTTAAAGTCACTAGAGTGATTCCTGTTTCTGTTTGTCTTCTTCTATCTATATCTACACTTCAGAATGAAGAACAGATGTCACAAACACTGGTTTGCTGTGTAAAGTACCAACTGTAAAAACATTATAAACTCACTGTGTTTTCATCCATCTGTGTTTTTGTCCCTGAAAAGAAAAGAGAAAGAGTCGACTTTAGTTTCCACAGTGAAAATCCAGGTTTATCAAAACTTCCTGTTTCTGAGTTTCATCTGTGAATGTTCTCACCTTTAGTTCTTGTCCAGATGTTGACTGCCACAACAATTATTATGAGTGCTGCTAAACCCACAGACACAATGATGAACCTCCAGAACGATTCTGAAAACATTAGAAACATTTTGACTGCACAGTTCAGTTCTGTTTGAAATCCTGCAGCTAAAGTAGCAACGAATCACAGACTTTCATCAGCTCACAGTTTTCCCGCATGTCTTTGCTAACTGTGAATGTAGTCGTCTGATTTGTGAGCAGCAGTGGATCTTGTGGATTGAGCAACAACAACTGAGTGAGACTGACTGAATAAGAGAATATCTCCACCCACAGCCGAGCGTCGCTCTGACATTCAGACTTTAGACTCCAGAAGAGGACAGAGGGACTGGAAAAAAAACTTTACTTACAAATGATTAGATAAAAGCGTCTAAATTTTGTCTTTCCAGAAAGTTAAAAAGTCAACAAACAAACAATAAAAAGTTTGTTTTAGTTCAGTATGGGGAGAGAAAGAGGCTGACAGGAAGACAGAGAGACTCTAGAGAAAGATGAGTTACTACCTTGTAGTTTTGTTGAAGTATCATTAGTTGTTGTTGTGGCTGTAACTGATTTTGTGTTTTCAGTTTTTGTTGTTGTTGTTGTTTGTGCGTCACCTGCATGAATGAAATATCACAAACCAAGAAACTGTTCAGTTAGAAAATCCCTCATGTTTACCATCTGCTGTCACTAAATGAGAAAGAATGATGTCATCTTAAAAAGTCATCAAATAAACAAATGTTTTGGTGGTTTTAGTCATCTTGAACAGCTCAGCATATTCTCACCTGTTTTCTCACCTGAGGACTGAGGGCTGAAGGTGAACAGCTGCACTTTTTCAGAGTCACCATCTGTCACTTCACACTTCAAGTTAGACTTTGATTTGTAACTAAAATGAGAATCCAGGAAAGAAACAGCGGCGTAGCAGACAGACTGTGATGTCTTCATGTCTTTGTTATCTTTGTCCACATCTTTACCCTCATACAGCCACTTCACTGTGTGATTACAGAACTGTTCATGTTTCAACACAAAACAGGTTAACGTCACCTTATCAGCGTCCTTACGTTCAGTCACTGGTGAAGATGGAGATATTGTGAGAGAAAGACAACAAGAGTAAAGTTAACTTCATCACTGTGATCATAATTATTGTAATGTTTCAGTATATTGTTCTAACAAGACAGTTTGAGCTGAAAACATTATGATGGAAATACTCACTGATAACAACAGACAGATAAACCTGAGAGTCTGGAACTTGATGTTGTCCTGATATGAACTGTCTGCAGGTGTAACGACCAACATCCTCGACTGTGACCTTCTTTATAACCAGAGAACAGTTCTCTGTAACACTCAGTCTGTCTGATTTAGCTTTGGACTTTACACCAATCTGCCCAAGTTTAATCAGCTCTACTGTTGATCTGCTCCCTGAACCACTGAAGAGCCATGTAGTATTTTCACATTCTTGCTGACCGTCTTTCACATTTTCACAAGGCAAAGTGACGTCATCTCCAACTCTGACAGTGAAGGAGAGGAGAAGTTTTCCAGCTGCTGCTGTTGAGAAAATGATGAAAAATAAAGTGAAATGAGAAAATGTCTGTTATGTTCATAGTTAGTGACGATTATTTCTTTATCCTTAGTTTCCAAGAGTTCACTAAACTCACCACATTAGAAACAACAGATTTGGTTTTCTTAGTTAAATCAAATGTAGCTAATAAAGAATCTTTAATAATATTGATCAAGTTATTTTTTACAATGTGCCTTCCATTTATATATGTGATATATGTATTCTTACCTGTAAACTGAAGCACCGCTGGAAGAAATAAAGAAATCCATTTGAACTCAACCATCATGATTCTCTGAGTCTCTCCTTCTTCTGTCTCTTGTTCTCGTGCTCAGAACTGTCTGAGTTTCTAAACTAGTGCTTTAGTAGAGAGACGCAGCAGCTACTTCCTGTGGTTAGGATGATGTCACTTCATCATAGTGACTTTTAGTCTGTTTTAGATTTCAGTCTCTCTGAATTTCTTATCGATGTCCAAACAGCCGTCAGTAAAGATGTCAGAGGTCAGAGGTCAGTGCAGCCTGACAAAGATCCACCATCTACAAACACATACAACAAAGTCACTGATCTAACGCTGAAACAAACAAACTATATTAAGGCTCAAGTTCACACTTTGTTCATTCTCGTCTATTTGTGACAATGACGTGTTTCACCAACTGAAAAGAAGAAGAAGAGGAAGTTGAAGGTGTGAAGATAGTTACTTAAGATAAACTTGCTATCCTTAGATAGTGTTTATTAGAAAACAGACAGGATCCATGGTGATGTTTGACAGCACACATGAACAGACAGGTGAAGAGTCAAACTCCTCTCCCACCAGAATCTGACTCCTGATGTCCATGGTGCAATATGGTGATACTGTAGCAGCTGCTGAAGAACACAGATAAGATGATATTTTACTGATTAACAACTGAGCTCTGGAGATGACTAATGATGACCAGATGAACATCAGAAACACATGAGCTCACAGGAACAGATACTCAACTCTTTATTATGACATAAGACAAAGAGGCGCTTACTGAATTCTGTGTAAAACTACTTCTGTACTTTTTTTTTCGCTTCACGAGCTGATGGATGAACCAGTCGTCTGTGATCCCTCTGAGTATTTAATTCCTACTACTCTTCTCCTACTCATTCTCCTGCTCACCCAGCCTCATCTGCCAATCTGCTGCAGACAACACCCTCATCATGATGGGCATACATCCCTTTCACATTTCCTAAAATCTCCTATTTCTTTTCCTATTAATTACTCTTTAAGCCTCTTTTCAAATAAGTCTCTCCTGATTGAGCTGATATTTTCCCTCTGTTTAATTATTAATAAACACCCTAAGACTGAAGGCCTTTTCATGTACCTACTCAATTCCTTTCCTCCTTTCCTCCTTTCCTCCTTTCCTCGCCTCCTCGCCTCACGTCTTAGTCCCTCCAGCCCGAGGAGCAAGCGGAGAAGTTGAGAAAGAGACGCGAGGAGAGAAGAAGCCTGGTATCATCAAAAGGCGTATGAATAACACGTTGATTTCTTAAGTCATTTGGCATGGTATCCAAACATAGTTGAGGCAACAGGCATTTACTGAAACAAGACATCCTTGCTTCGGAGCTGTCATTTTAAAGCAAAGTCATTTAAATATGATGCATGGCACATGTCCATTGCTACAGCATACCGCTATGAAATCAGTCAGATGAGCATGTCAGTTGTCAACATTATGACATGTAGAAAGAAAAATCTTGAGGTTGCAAAACACATTATAGCATCTGTTCAAAGAAGCAACAGCCACAGGTTACAAAATCATGCGCTACACAGAAATTCAGTATAGTTAACTCCCAGGCTTTCTTTTTGGCTGTGTGCCTTTTGTCTGTAACAGGAGATCATTTCCTGAGGTGAGAGTTTCATCATCACAGTAAGAAATAACAAAAGTAAAATTGATCTTAAATGTAGCCTACAGCCCCAATTGCACCTGTCGTCACATGATTATTCGTATGGAATGACATTTGCAGACTAAATACTATTATTACTGTATGACAACATGAAATGAGGATGCGTTTGATGATATTACAGCTTCATTTGACATCAGCAGCTGTTTTGCACTCGTCAATTCATGAGTTAAATGGGTGTGATGTGCAGATCGACTCTGACGTCATCTGAATCATCCACGGGCCAACCACCTGCTATTAATCAGAGTAATCCTTTTTAAAACCCTACATTCAGCAACATAAACAGTAAGGTCAATGTTCTATAAGTTCAGGTGGAGCCCTCTGCTGGACTCTTTGGGTAAAACCTCCTCTACTCACACACACACACTCTCACCCAGTGAAAACACAGCCACCCAATAGGACACCTCTACCGATATGTGCGGACCGTATAAATAGTAATGTCCCAGTACCACAGCACCAAGCACCACATCACCTTAGTGACAGGCCGCCCCTGAGACGGTTCCTGGACTGATATGGGTTTGGCCTGGCCATTACCACCTGAGCTGAACATCAGGCACAGTCGGTGTACTATGCTTGTTTACTTCTGGTAGTCACCAAAGTCCCTCCTCACAGATCAATCAATCAATCAAGTTTCATTTAAAGTGCAAAATCACCAAAAAACATGCTCCCAATTAGGGCTACACATTGGAAAAAACTGATATTGCAACAATTATCTTTTCTGCGATATATATTGCAATATGGAAAAATACAGGAATTTCAAGCATCCTAGAATTTTTGTGTGTGGTTTGGGAAAATGTATAGAAAATTAAAATAAATAAGCTGAAAATTGTCTTTTTGTCTGTACTTTTTTTGAGTGCAGACTATGCTTTCTTGAGCTTTAATGCTTTTCTTTTTGCAATCAAATCCACTGTGTGGTCATCCATCTGTCACGCTCTGCCGGTTTTGTCCATCCTTTGTGTTGCACTTTTGGGTTTGGTATCTGCCTTAGTATGTTGAGTTTTGGGTTCTGTCCTGTCTGGTGTCCAGTATCTGCTATGTAGTCTGTTGTGTTTTGAGTTCCTCTGAGTTATTGTGTGGTCAGTTCATTATCTGTTATTTAGTTGGTCTTTGATTCCATGTCATGTTCTTGGTCTTGTACGTTAGTTCATGTCTTTAGTGTTTACTCCGGGTCTTGTGTTCTCTGTTAAGCTCTGTACTGTGTTCTAGTTCTGTGTTCTCGCTTATTCACTCTGCCCCAGGTCTGCTTGTCATGTCAAGTCTCTCTGTTTTTCCCCTGCTCTCTCTCTCTCTGCCTCGTTAGTCTCATGTCTGTCACCTGTGTTGCTTAGTCCCTGTGTATATATACCTGGTGTTTCTGTCTTGTCTTTGTCTGGTCATTGTTTATGTTACCCCTCAGTCTGTTGTGCGTGTACTCTCTGCCTGCCTGTAACCAGCCTTGCTTGTCTTGTCTCCCTGTACTTTTGGATTTCTGTTATTCAGCCACTCACCTGTAAATGTGCTCCCTTTTGGTTATATTAAAACCCTTCATTGAACTATACCTGCTC